ATGAGAAATAACGCCAGATAGAATTTTGTCGCCTTTAACACCTAATTCAATAAAAAAATGGTAAATAATTTCCTAATTATGCCATTAGTGGAATAATTGACAAATCCATTAACACAAATAATTTGAAGTGTTTGTCATGAAATCATTTAACATAATATTATTAGGTATATCGAAGTGATAGATCTGCGCAATTGTTAGCTTTTTTTAAAAGCAATTCCGCTTGGCAATATGTGTCTAATGCTAGTTTTTATTAATAAAGAAAAAAGGGACCTTAAAGAGGAAAATACAAGCCAAGAGGGCCAGATTTTATTCCACAATTATTAGATGATTTATTATTAGAGTATTTAATTTAAATTATAGAATATAATTCAATTAATGGACTTACGTGAAAAGGAAATCCCACCCACCCCAACGGCCCAGCGCACACTAATATATAGAATGATATATATATATATATACACCAATATTGTTTCTAAGTTTTTGTTTTTCCCTTTTACTATTAGTGATTTATCATATTGATTTAAAAGCGTAATTTGATGTATAAAATATCTCGTATTAGCAAATTTTGGAAAAGAATTGCACCTTTATCTATTCACAAATTCAAGTATATTTTCTTGATTAAAGTTATGTTATAAAATAAAATGCATAAATATGTATAGTTGAGGCTAGTAGGAGTATAAATTAATTACGGAGTAAAGTAAAAAAATATGAAGGTAAACGACCAGGATATATAAATATTGGAAGATAAAAGGACGTGTGCATCACTATAAAAATCTAAATAGTAGAAATTATCAAGACATTTTTGCCCTTTATCTTCTTCATCTGGAAGCCACATAAAGGTGAAGATTTTACGGGTATTTGAAAATTATCGGTCATGTGAGTATTAATTATTCTATTTTTTATTCTGTCTAAGATAGTAATTTTTTCATAGTTTATATATGTATTGTATAAAAAATTTCTCATAGCTTATATATATATATATATAGTTATGAAGTTACTTCTTTACTGACTACCAAACAACAACTTGTTGCTTATACTCTAGAGAAACAAAGTAATAGAAAATTAGTACAGTACACATGCACACATATTTATCATAATATATATATATATACACACATTATATTATATCTATATAATATAATACATATAAGGAAAAATTACCTAACTACACATCATTTATTATCATATTTTCTTATTTTTTCTAACATTTCAAAAAATATCAAAAATCCCCTATTTTGTTCCCATCATCTCTTTTCCGGATACATTAATTTGAATTATCATACCCATGATTTTCTTTATTTTTTTTCAAGCCACAAATTCTCCACAGTTACCTACATTAATCCATTTTTTTAAGGGATAGGATATGAAAAATACCTCAACTTTGGTCGAATTTGCTGTTGCGAAACTAAATTTCATGAGGACCTATTACCTCTCTAGACTATTTAATACCGTATTTTAAATATATATATTTGCCCACGTGGACATAAAAATAATGCAAAATTATAAATAGTAATGTGTCCACGTGGGGACATATATACCTTTAAAATACACTATTAAATAGTTCAGGGGGTAAAAAATATGGAATTAAATAGTCTAGGGAGGTAATAGGTCCTTATGAAAGTTTAGTATCGCAACAACAAATTCGACCAAAGTTGGGATATTTTTCAGACCCTTATCCCTTTTTTTAATTTCAAACCTTTTCTCTTTCCAATTAATGATTTCAAGTTATTCAAGAGGTAGATTTCTTTTCATCACTTCAATTTTTAATTTCTTTTTAAAAATTTTTTTTAGTTTTTTTGTCTTAAAAAATATTGAATTTGTTACTCCCGGTCTCTTTACTGGAAGAGGGGTGAAAAACGTTGCGAATGCAGAGAGTTCATCTTAGAGTGCATTTGGAATGGTTCCAAGAATTTTTAACGGTGGTCTTGATACACTTCATTCCATTGGTTCGATTTTTCAGTATTGGGCTTACCCAATTAGTCTGAGAAGGATACATCTTCGTTGCTTTCCGTTGATTAGATTGTTGACTTTTTTTTGTTTTTTGGTTGTTCATCTTTTTTGATACATAATGATTCAGATTTTTAATGTATCTAGTTGATTTTGTTTCTTAAACTAATGTATATTGTTTTCGTTTCAACATTATGATACATTACAATTCTATTATGCACAATGTATCGTGTTCAAATATTAGTTTTGATACTATAACCTTAATTAGTATTGATACTTGATATAAAAATTCTACCAAATATATCATTTATCATATATCATCCTTTTCATCTACAAATTTCTAATACATATGGATTCTGCTCTCAAACAATATAAGTTACATAAATAATAATGTATTATAAGCACTAATTTTTTAGACATGATACGTAAATTCAAATTTATACCAAATGAATCTGATACATAACAATTACCAAACAGTAATGAATCAGTCTCAAACCTTAACATCTTATATGCAACAATTTCTTATTTAATGTATCTAGTAGAAATACAACACATGTCAATTTAAACATGATACATAAATAGTAATATACTAATAAATCTATCCATCTCGAAAATAGTTTCTGTATAATTGACTTTGATTCTACCTTCGGCTTTGATTAGGACATATATAGGATATATAGATCCTTTTTTAGTAACGACACGGTGAATGACAGTTATTATAGAGAAAACCTGAAAGATGCAGCAATATCTTGTTAACAAAATTGAAAGGATCTTCGATGAACTGGAGAAGAAATTTAAAATCCATCACTTATGTATCATTCATAACTTACCTTGCTTTTCCAGATTCCTGAATGTCTTCATCATGTATCGACTATTGTTTTCGACTTTTTTCTATTTATTACAATTTGGGTGAGAATTGAAAGAAGAAAACTTGAATTGTTTGAAGCTAGACGGATTTCGAATAGAATTGAGAGAAGAAAATTTGAATTTTGACTTGAAACTGGGTGGATTTGGAAGAGAATTGAGAGAAGAAAATTTGAATTTTGATTTGATTGAATCTGTTAAGATCTGGGAGAGATTGAAATCAACGAGATTAGCTAATTTGGGGAACTCACATTCAATTTTATATTCTCTTTCCTTTAAAAGTGTAACTGACGTTGTTTTAATATTCTCTTTCCTTTAAAAGTGTAACTGAATTTGTTTTAATGTATTCGACTAGTTTGCTATGTATCCGGATAACACTGATTTTGAGGGATTTTTGTAAATTAAAAAAGAGTAAGGATAAAATGTAATTTAGGTCCTTACACTATGGAATTTTTGTAAGCTATACTAAATATAATGTACATATATATTATAATAGAATACTTACATTAGATTTTATATATATTTATAATATATACTAAATATACACACAATATACTATCTATATATTAAAAATATAGAATACTTGCACTCATATCATGTGTACCTACACCTTTTTCTCCAATTTCACTAGGTGGTGCTTCAAGCATATGAGAATAAAATTTACTTGTACAACCTCTATCGGAACAAATTTTTTTCTTACTAACACTACTATCGGAGAATACAAATTTTTAACATTTCTACCTACTTTTTTTAAACGTATTAATTATGCAAATTAAAATGATAAAAATTATAAATACAAAAATAATATAATTAAATATTCAAAAATTAATACACGTAAATAAAAGCAAGAAAGGGAACAAATTTACCAAATTGTCGGAGATAAAGAAAGAAGCATAAATTTGATGTAATATCGAACACTTGAAACTAGAAAACTTCAACTTGATATTATTATTGCAAAATATAATATAAGATTGCTATCACTTTAAGAGAGAGCTAAGAAATTGAGAGAGAATTAGAAAATTGTTGTAGGAAAAATAATGAAATGTTAGAATAAGTGTTTTCAAAAATATTTTTTGGGGTGAGTCTTGGGGTGGGGCATACCAAAAATGTTCCTGGGCGCAAACTGAAGACGTACATCCATGAGACGTAATACCTAGAATTTGGGGGCGTAAGCTCCAAGCGTGAAAATGTAAGCCCTAGGTGTAAAAACATACTCCTTTGGCATTTTTTTTTTGTTTTTGAACCTCTTTTTCTATAAATCATATTTTTTATTAATGGAGTAATGATATTTCTCAAATAGTAATTGTAATACTTTTTCTTCATTATTGGTTATTAATACTTTTCTCAAATAAAATCATAGTATTTTTTCTATATATTATAGGTTATTTATTAAAATTTATTTGTAAAATAATTGAAAGTTTACTTGTGCTTATTTTTCTTAGTAATAAAATTATAAAAATTGAATATACATGAGACTACGCCCCGTAGAACCATAAGACTTACGCTCAGTATCTCGGGACTTACGTCTTGCCCTGTACGGCATAAAATGTCTCGCCTCATGTCCCTGCCTTTTAAAACACTGATAGGAAGTATTTATAGATAAAAATTGTAGGATATTAATTTTTATTTTTTAAAAAAAAAAATTGAATTTTGGGCCACTTTTCATGAAGCGGTCGTTGGGCCGATGGCCAATTTATGAAAAGTTCACCAACGGTCAATATTTTTTTTAAAAAAAATTCTCTTACCGGACCAATAAACCGATGGACCACCTACCGGTCCCTTACCAGGCTGGTCCTATTGAGCTGAGGCAAAAAAAAACACCGGACCGACCAAGTACAATTACTACGTGTGCCGGTCCCTCAGTGGGCCGGTTTTAATGGGCCAAAAACCAAGCCACCGACCCAGTTAAAAGTTTTAATATTAGATATAAAATGATTTTTTCTCATGATATGCTAAAAGTGACAAATAAAATGTAAAAGGTATTCCTTTTTAGTATATACTCCCTCTAGTCCCAACCAAGTAAAGTATTGGGGTATGTCACACCCTTTAATAAAAATATTTAAGAACATAAGTCAAATGTTACTTTCCACTATTACACTTTTGATTATTTTCAAACTATTCTCCTAGAAAATGTAAAGTAAATAAGAAGTTCATTAAATGAAAGACAAATTTGAAAAGAAAAATAAAGGTCCCATAATTTTTTTGAACTTTGACTTATTTCAAACTATTGAAAAAGGTCCAACAACTCACTTAACACAAACTAGAGAAAACATATTGGACAAATACAAATAAACAGAAAGATTATTTATTGGATGATATTTAGAGTGAAATAGTAAAGATAGAGCTACTTGTGGAATTCCATGACCCAAAAATTAGAGACACGACATATAAAGTTAATGCCATTAAATCCAGCTTCAGTTGCGAGGGATCGAAATTCGTGTTGCGAACGCTCTTTGCCTCCCGGAGTTTGAGCTAACATTATCAAATCAAATTGTGAAATAACTACAGAGCTATGGATATGATCAGGTTTCACTGGTAGAATGGCCTCAACAACTATCACTTTCCCATTTTCTGCTGGTGTAGCTTTATAGCAGTTCTTCAGTAACTTCACGCACTGACTGTCACTCCAGTCATGAAGAATCCACTTACATATATACATCATTAATAAAAATTGTCAATAATTTAAAGGAACAACAATACTAGTAATTTTAATTAATTTAAGGTATGTACCTTCATAAAAATAGCATCTCCTTTTGGAACATTTTCAAACATATCTCCTCCAATGTGTTCCATCCCTGGAATAATTAGTTTTTAAAAAATGAAATATCCTTTAATCCAAACCTGTGAATTTAATTTAAATTAGATAGAAAGGAGTGAGAGATGAGATCTAAAGTCTAATTTAATTTGCTTTTGAACTTTGCAAATAATGGGTTAAATTTATCAATTAGTAATTTATCATTATAAGTTTACTTTGGTAATAACATGTACAAAAAATAAAATTAATTTATAAAAATATATTTCGACAAATTTATTAATTTTATAAAAATATAAGTCCACTTTTTTTTTTTTTTAAAGGAGGACTGTTTGTTACAAGGGAGAAAGTGAGAGGAGAGATACTCTTAAGCAAAATAGGTAGATGAAAGGTATATTTAGATTTTCTGAAATAGTCTAGGCCATTTATGGTCCTTATTTGAATATTTTATAAGGGAAGTTTCAAATATGCGCAATAAAGTAATTAGTTTGTTATAAATATAATCAAATTTTATTTACATAAAAAATAACCAGCAATTTAGAAAATACACATTGACACACTCATTACAAACTAATGATTAACATGATTATTTTACTATATTATTCCTAAAGTTGGTGCAAATCTTTTGTTTTATCTTCGAACTATTGACAACTTTTTACACTTCTTTACTTGCCTAGCTAAACTTAGATACACCCAGGGGCGGCTCAAACCCGTTGGTGGCCTAAGGCCAAAATCAAACTAGAGGCCTTGAAATTTTTTTAAAAATTATATATGTTTTTATTTCAAATCTATTTTTCTAACTTTTTGAGATGCAAAATTGTTTATAATTTTTGTGTAGTTAATCTCTTCTAATAATTCTTTTTCAATCGATAATATAGCCAAACCACTTAATCTTTCTTGAGACATTGTTGATCTTAAATTCGATTTTATTATTTTTAATTTTGAAAAACTTCTTTCTGCTGAAGCGACTGTTGCAGGAATTGTTAACATTATTCTATAAGCAATGTAAGCATTTGGAAAAGAATCAAGTATTTTTATTTGATTAAGTATCTCAATTAGAGTATTGTCTTCTACTAGTATGATTTTCCTTAACACTTTTAACTCAGAAAATAAGTCTAAACAGTCAATATCGGAGTGAGTATTATGTTTTAAGGAACATTCAAGATTAAGACAATATTTTTTTGAATTCTCATCATCTAATGATCTCAATTTTTTCCCACTAACTAGAAAACCAAAAATATTTTCATATACTTCAAATTGTTCAAATCAAAAACATAAACTATATTTTTTGAAAATTGAAATTATCAATAGAACAAGTAAATTCTTAAGTTTTGATTAAGAGAGATATAAGATTAGAAAAGAAAAAGAGAGAAGAAATAGAAGAGAGGAAGAGAGAAGGATAGAATATATAAAAATAAATTAGAAAAAGAATAAGGTAAAAAAAAATTAAAAAAAAAATTTGTACAATTAAAAAAGTACACATTAAAAAGGTAAAAAGTAATAGTCATATCAAGTCATCTCATTAATTTGGTTTGAATTTAAAGTCTTAATTTTATTTATTTTTTTAGTTTAATCCTACCTAAGAAACCAAAAAATGGGGCCCCCTAAACTTGGGGGCCTAAGGCCAAAGTCTTTTTTTCAAAGCTTACCAGCCGCCCCTGGATACACCTCCGATCAACTACATGACATAGAAAGTGTTCTCAAACTTTTGTAGGAGCATGTGACTCCTAATAAAAAATCGATAGAAGTGTTGAAAACACCCCTAAATTTAGCGAGAATTTAGGCTTGTATTTCACTCATGTTGCAAGATTTGGGCTGTATTTAAGTTCAGTTAGTAAAGTAAATGAGTGTTTTTATGACTATCAAAAATTCAGAGATAAAACTAATAATTTGTGCCGAATTTAGAGATGTTTTCAATACTTTCTCCCGAATAAATATATAATAAGGTGTAAGAGAGAACAATTACCAGGTGTTAATGGATACTTTATGTTGAAGCAAAGCCAAGAGTGGCCCCAAAGATGCACCATCTTCATTATCACTAACAAACATCTTACCCACTGGTGACAGACCATAGAGTCCATTATTATTATTATTAATGGAGCAAGTGAGCAAAGAATATGTAGCCAACACATAAAGCATTCTGTCTAACATATTGGCTGCATCAATAGGGTTGTTGCAAGCCATTTTAGAAACAATTTGAGAAGAAGAAAGTTGAGTATCATTAGCTTTGGCTAAGATCTCAAATACATCCAATTCAATTGTTGAATGCAACACAAAGGGAAGTACTGATGATGACAATAGTTGCATTGCATATGTAAAATTCCCCTCTTTGTCTGAGCCAATACTAATTGGTAATTGACTCATGTTTGCCATGCTTTAAATCAATTAGCTAACACTTTCTCAATTTCCTCTAGTACTGCTCTTGCCTTTATAAATTCAGAGTGTTCTATCAATCCTCACACTCATATATAAGTACAAATAATAGGGTCATAGTCAGGGGTCAACATGAGGTGGAATTAGGAGTGACAAATGAGCGGGTCGAGAAATACTATCTCTGGAGCCCTCAGTTTAGGGATATCTTTCACCGTAGACAGACATGGTTCAATGTGCTACCTACGCTTCCTCTTCTAGAACAATGACAGTCTAGTCTGATTCCCCCTAACGAAAGTGCCACAACTCCTTCTATCATAACCCGAGTTGATATGAGTCGATCGAAAATGAGCTAAATAAAAATGGATAAAGTACTCGACCCAAGTCATATTTTAAATGAGTAAAAATGAGTTACCCAAAGGATACTATAGGTATATTATAGTAGGTATCTTGTTAAAAGCTTTAAAACAAAATCTTTTTGTAGTTTTTGTTTATCACCCCACCCCACCCCCACCAGCCCATTTACTATTTTTCTTTCTTTTACCCATTTGACTATCCACTTTTAAATGGGTAATATGAGTATTATTCGTTTTTTATTCATTTTAAATGTGTAGGGTATCCAACTCATTTAAAATTGATAAATATGAGTGGAGACCTATATAAATCACTCATTCTGCCATCCTTAGGTGGAATTATCAATCCTCACGCAGTCACACTCCTTAAATTTGTGATACTCTCGTTAAAAACTAGTACAAATATCGTCTAACAAATGGTGCATATTCATCTTTTTGTTAACAAATTTATATTTATTGAATTTTAAGAAAATTCTAAAGCTATTTTTAAATTCGAATAAAGGACAAGGGCTAGGATATAGCTGGAGAAAATAGCCAAATGAACCCGTAGCTATTGAAAAATTATGGAACTCTATAAAACGTGTTACATTCTAGTTGGGACTCTATAGGATGTATTTGATTCCAGTTAAGGTTCTTGGAGGCTACTCAATCTTAAACTCTGATTTATGTCTATATAAAAAGTAATATATTCTCTTAAGAGACATCTTGAATATTTCACAAATTCATGAAATATTCATAACGATATCAAACCAGATCATCCTAATTCGAGAAATATGTCAACCCTTGCATATGGAGAAACCTAGAAGAATTAAGGGAGGAACAAAATTGTACTTGCTCTATTTATCAATAAAATATTCATGCTTTTTCATAGTTTTTTGTGATTGAAGTTAGGATCAAGCCATTTATGTGATGAATATATGTTGTTGTAGAAGGAGAAACACTTTTAAGACGGGCTAACCCATCGGTGGCCCCCTAAACTTGGCACGATCTTTCACTTAGACACCTTAACTAGGCTTTGTTCATTTTAGACACCTCATGTCAAGCTCCGTTGTGTCATTTTGACACTTTTTTCACTAGCACATGTTGACTTCAAGTGCGTGTTAACCAAGCGCGTCCATGTGGATTAGATGCCCAATTATATCATGCCAACTCATTAAAAGACTATCATATTAAAGAGGAAAAATAAGAATTAAAATACATGACAAAGTAACCAATGAATAAATGACATGTGGTCTTTTTTATCCCAAAAAATTAAATTAAATATTTGACAAATTTAAAGAAAAATGCAACCCCCACAACATCCCTAGTCATCTTCTCCATTCATCTTCTCCATTGTATTACTCCATTTTTATTATTTTTGAGCTTTATTCTTTCTGTCATAAACCCACACCCACACAATCTACTCTATCATATTCCGTCATTTTCATTACCTTTTCCGTCACACCCATAACCACACAGCCATCTTCCCCGTTTTATTCCTCTTTTTCATGATTTTTTTTTGCCATATTCCCCATTCATTGCACCCTCCCTAAGGGCTAAAAGGTGCAAATGTATAACAACAATGGTTCATATTTTAAAGATTGCGTCTCTTTTTCTTTAATTTTGTGATATTTGC